TTGGTCCTTTATATTTGAACTAAAGTCATAACGGTCTTCCGGTGACCGTTTGTGAAAGTACATGAAATTTCAATGACTGTTTCTGCAAGTTTTGAACTTCAATGAGCGTTTTGTTATTTTTGCGTAAGTTCAGTGACCATTTGTGAAATTAACCCATAACATAATAGAAGATCCAATAACCCCGAAATTCAAAAAAAAAAGTCAGAATTTTAAAATTTCAATTTCTCAAAAATTCAACCATGGAGTGGCTCTGATACCACTTGTTAGAAAACAAGAAACTGATAATCAATCCATATGCTTTAATCAAATCCTTTTCACATGTAAAACTTAATACATACTCCATGTTGAAATCAGCGAAAAGAATGAAATACAAACATACCTTGATCCATAGATATCTGATTGTTTGCCTGAATGAGTTGTTATCTTCCAATTGATTTTTGACATTCTCTTCAATTTTTTTCTCTGTTGATGGGGATGCATAGAATAAAAAGTCATTATCAATTTGGGGACCATAACCCAATAAAATAATAATAACTGAATAATCATTATCTTTAAATTGTTTCAAATTGACCCCTGATCAATTTAAAACAACATTTCGATCTCTACACTATATTTTCATGAAATCCAATACACATTAGTCAAAATTAACTTTAACGGATCACTTTAATTGACTAATATTCTTTAAATAATAGCACCACACATTTTAATATATTACATGTGACTCCATATATGTTGAAAATTTTCAACATATTGTTTTATGAAAAAAAAAAAAACAATAGCATCTGATGGAGGCTTAATTTGCGGCAATATTAAAGGCATAAAATAGACTGTTTTCCTACTCAAAGTGGGATACTACTTTTCTAATTGAACTAATCAATTTAGGATAAGTAAACCTAAATCAAAACACGTGTCACTTATCATTTAATTCTTAGTCAACCTCATTAATTATTAATTAAAGACAGACGTCTTTATACTATACATTCATTTGATTCGAGATTTCAAACGAGTATTTGATCAAAAAAAAAAAAAAAAATCTTATCTCACACTTATTTTCTCTCAACATTTAAAAATTATCGAAAGGTATCTAATGGTCATTCTCATCACTGAACAATTTTATTCTATAAAATTTATGAGCGCTTTCGAATGTAAAGGATTCTATAAAATTTATGAGCGTTTTCAAATGTAAAGAATTGTAGCCACTTATAATTTCATTTTGAATCAGTGGTCATAAAGGAGTAAGAGTTTTATTTACTACTTCCTTCCCATAAAGATGGACTTGATTTTCCTTTTTGTTTGTTCCAAATTACAGGTAACTTTCTTTATTAAAACTATAAATATTTTTTTTATTTTTCGAATATACCCCTATTTAATATACATTGTTGTCAGCAAATATAAACTTATTCCATTTAAAAAATTATTTAATATAGGAGTATATTAAGAAAAATATTAGAAAAATTATATTTTCAATTGTGTTAATTATATTCTCTAAATTTGTGTGAAAACAGAAATAAATTTATTTTCATGGGATGGAGGTGGCATAAAACTGTGGGTTTAAATACAGCCAATCAAAAGATTGTTTGAGAAATTGGTAATTGACTTGTAAAGTGGAAATTTAATGGTGAGACCGGACAAGAATTATGGCTTAATTTGTAACATCCGTGAAGACTTTTAAACTCATAGTTAGGTATAGACTGACATTTCAATAGAATACATTCATTTCGGCTCATTTTGTGTAAGTAATACACGTAAATATTTGCTTGGATATTAAATGCACGTTTGGTTCAAAATATAACTCTAACGCTACTATAAACAAAAATTAGTTTCTTTTTCTTTCTTAAAGGTTGAACTCCAACCTCGAGAGTTCCCCACCGCCCCTAGAGTATCGTGGAGGAGGTAAATCGTGGGATGTACCTCAACAGACTAGGGTATAAGAGCTGTCATACTAGTGCTCACAATGAGTCAAATTTCATACCTAGTAAGAAGCAAAAATCGAACCCTCACACTACTGCTGCCAGTTCAGTTGAGATTATCTCACTCATGCCCTTTGCATCACTGAGCTATGCCCCGAGAGGTTAGTTTCTTTTTCTTTCTTAATATTGTCTTGTCTGGTCTAAGCCACCATAGACCATTATTGTGTAATTTGATAGATATGTGTTGATGTGAATAGAAGAAAAAATCATAAATTAATTGGAAGAGAGAAGAAATAAGAAGGATGTATGAAAACGCATATAATTTTTAACTCGGGTGTCGGGCTTTCACGAGCGAGTACAATTCGAAAGCATTTTTCGATTTTACACATTTTTGTCGGGTGATGATCGGCCTTAGGCCAACATCGTCAAACTTAAATTCCATCATTTAGGGATCCGTTTTAGCATTTTTCTGTTTTGAGTCGATTTTACCATTTTTGTTGGGTGACGATTGGACTCAAACTTCCGGGATCAAATTTCGTTGTTTAGGGGTTCATTTTAGCATTTTTCCGTTTTGAATCGATTTTGCTGGCAAGTTTTTGCTTGTTTGTTTGCCGAAATGTGTGCCTTCCCGTGCTAGTTCTTAGTGGTTTTTCTTGTTTTGGTCATCTTCTGGGTGTTGAAAAGCTTTGTAGATAGTTTCTTTCGCCCCTTTAGCTATAACTTAATTCATATTCATCTCTTAAACCTTTAAAGGCATTAAACTTCAAAAAACATTTCGAGCTGGAACTTGCTAGGTACTAAAGTGGCGAAGGTTGAATAAGACGAAGCACTTTCAAAAAATTATTCATATACGTTCAAATGTGTCTTTTTAATCTCAGAAATAATTTTTGACTTTTCAAAAGTTCTGCTAAATGGGCTCTATCTAATGCAGGGCCTTTGGAAACTCTTCACGCTTTATCCGACAATGATAAACAAAAAAGGAATCAGAAAACAAGCAATGCTTATAGTTGTTTTCACCTCAATGTGAGAGTTATGTCCACTAACTAATACAATTTTAAACTACGACAGAATAAGAAATTTTTCCTTAAACCACTCTTGCACTAAAAAATTGTCCATACAAACTTCTAAGCATTCCCTGTGTACAATTCAACAGCTTGCAAAACTGTCATTTTGATAATATCATCTTGTTTCATGATAGGCCCACACACACCAAAGATAAGGCATTGTGTACAAAAAAAATCATTTCATTTCACTGTCAAAAGGTTGAAAAACTTCTAAACCAACTCGCCAGGATCCATCAATCCTTCCCGAGAGTTCTCTGATTGCTCGATGACAGAACCCGAGCAAAGGGCAGGTGGCTCGACCGGGGAACGACAGAGCGGGCAGTCGACGTGGGAATAGAGCCACATATCTATACAAGGAGCATGGAAACAGTGGTTGCACAGTGGAAGCTGCTTGATTTCTTCTCCTTCTTCAAACACTGACAGACAAACTACACACTCAGAATCATCCGCTTCATTTTTCTGGTACTTGAAGCTGGGCACGACGGCTTTCTTCGGTTTATGAAATATCGGGGTCAGGCTAGGCCGTTGGAAGTCAACCATACGTCTTCTATCGGAGTATTCTGTGCACCATTTTATGATGAGGAGATTGTACAGTGCCAGCACAATTGTAACTGTTCCGACCACGACGAGGCCATAATATAACATGGGCAAGTTTGATTTTGGTGGTTCTGGTGGTGGTAGTGGGGAAGGGTTCATTGAAGGTTCTCTTGGTGTTGCCAACAAGTTTGGTGTTTAGTGTAGTAATGGATTTTATTAGAATATGTTAAATAGCCGTGGCTCAAAAGGAGTCTACATGAATTTTACTGGTAAAACTGTGGGTTTTTAAAAATACAGGATTGTAGACAATATAGTATTGTACAATATAATAAGGACAAAGTTAACATGAATCATGATTCAGAGATAAATGTTTGAATTTTAGAAAATATCTCGTGCTTAAAAGGCAATTCGAGGCATTGGGCAGAATTTCAAAGGGATTTTCAAGAATTTTAATATAAAAATTAAGGAAAATTTAGAGTTAGGCTGAAGAAAACCATCAATATAAATTTCACTTGAAATTCTGTTTGACAAAGTTTTTGATAAAGAATTTACAGATTTTGATAAGAAGTTGATACAAGTTGGGACCATTGTGAAAAAGGTCCCTACTTTTCAATTTTTTTTTTTTTTTTTCATTTTCACCATTAATTATACATTTAATTCATTAAACCTTCATTTTCATCCATTTTCATCTAATTTCTCAACAAAGAACTTTGAAATAATT